AACAACTTATCCAGATAAACCTTAGCCTAATCAAAGGTCAACAGGATGATATAAAAAACAGCAGCGAAAACATAGAAGATCTGAGAAAAGTCTCGTACATTCCACAAGTGGATTTGGGGGCGGACTTGGGATATCCGCGAACTGTGTGTACCAGCAAAGAATGTATCGATGTCTTGACTATTAAAGAAAGCACACTGTGTCACTACAAGACACATTGTCATCCACGCTGTTTTTTAAATGGTATTACATGCAATGTGGTAAACCATGAAGCCTTGAGACATTGCGCAGCCATGGGACAAAATGGAATCTGTCAAAATTGTGGATGCCTCTGGAACACCCACATGCACATACGATATGAAAATGTAAACAAAGACGTGGACACAAACATCAAGATATCGCTTAAAGATGCGCTGATGGAGAACATACAAGAGAGAACGGAGAAACTAAGAAATGAACAGCAGGTGATAAACAGTATTAACATTCAATTTGCAAAATTTTTAAGACAAAGCGCAATAGCTCCATTCAATGATGCATATGCCGACTACTTGGATCTTTTTATAAACGAAGAGAAAGTCAAAAAGAGTGCTGATCCCTTTAATTACGATAATGAGATTCTCGAAGGGCTCGAAGAGACAAAGAGAGTGTACCTAACGGAGATAGAAAGTATTAAAGAAGCATTAAAGAATGGTGATTCTTCTGAACAACCGATCTCGCCAGATGACATAGAAAAGCTTGAACAACAATTGTATTCTCTAGAACTCAATGGTAAAATCCTGAAAAGAATAAAAGACGTAATAGTAAGCAGTCAAGCTTCCGCACACTCAGCTGAAAGAAATGATAGGAAAAGTAAGTCCTCTGAAAAGCCTGTATACTATCTGGACCAAAAATTTCACGGGATTTTTGAGGTGCCATGGAAGAAGATTCAAAATGTATGGTCTTCATTTTGGTAATGACTGTATGATGCATTTATTCCTTTCGCTTGACACATATATATATTGTCATTGTTACCTGCTTATCTTGAAGATGTATTTTTTTTCGTGAATGTCTGGGTTTTTTGGTATCTTATCAAGAACACAATCGTTTGTTAATATCGTTATTTAAAAAGTCTAGTTATATATCAAGCAATTAAGATAGGTTCAGCCGGTGCTTTTCTATCTTGTCGGTTTACTATAAGCAGAGATTAAAAAGGATAAAGGAAAATGCCATGGCGAATTTACCCAAACTGATTTCTTAATGTATACGGTAAGGTCGTTA